TTAAACTTAATGTGGCGTACAACGAGTCACCCTACACAATAATGTTTGGTCCCGATAGATGTGGTGCCACAAACAAGGTCCACTTCATCCTCAAGCACAAAAACCCCAAGAGTGGAAAGTACATCGAACACCACCTCAAGTTCCCTCCATCTGTTCCTTCAGACAAACTCACCCATGTCTACACCGCAATCTTGACTCCAGACAACGAGTTGAGAATCTTGGTCGACGGTGAAGAGAAGAAGAAGGCTAATTTCTTAGCAGAGGATGATTTCGAACCCTCACTCATTCCATCAAAGACCATACCCGACCCAGATGACAAAAAGCCCGAAGATTGGGACGAACGTGCCAAAATACCCGACCCAGATTCCACAAAGCCTGATGACTGGGATGAGGAAGCTCCAATGGAAATCGAAGATGATGAAGCTGAAAAGCCCGAAGGTTGGTTGGATGATGAGCCAGAGGAAGTTGATGATCCAGAGGCAACTAAACCAGAGGATTGGGATGATGAAGAGGATGGTGAATGGGAGGCACCGAAAATCGATAACCCTAAGTGTACTGAGGCTCCTGGTTGTGGGGAGTGGAAGAGGCCGATGAAGAGGAACCCTGCTTACAAGGGAAAATGGCAGCCTCCGTTGATTGATAACCCTAGCTACAAGGGTATTTGGAAGCCGCAGGAGATTGATAATCCGGAGTACTTTGAGGTTGAGAAGCCGGATTTCGAGCCAATTGCAGCTGTTGGTATTGAGATTTGGACGATGCAGGATGGTATAGTGTTTGACAATATCTTGATTGCTTCCGATGAGAAGGTTGCGGAATCGTACCGTGAGAGTGCATGGAAGCCAAAGTTCGAGGCTGAGAAACTGAAGCAAAAGGAAGAGGAAACTACCGAGTCTGACGGGCTTAAGGGTGTCCAGGTAACTAATGAGATATTACTATATTAATTTATATATACCAAGTTTCTGCAATTTGCTTTTTAAATTGATGCTTGTTCTGAAATCAATCCTTTTTTCTTGTGTGTGTTTGTGGCTTCAGAAAGTGGTGTTTGACAATCTTTACAAGGTTGCCGATCTCCCATTCTTGGGTGAGCACAAGGTCAAAGTATTGGTAAGTTTGCTTTCTTGGAAATTACTATACACTTCTATTTTTGGGCTTTTCTTTTACATTTGAACCTTATTGTTTGAGTTGTGTTCTTGCAGGACTTGCTTGAAAAGGCTGAGAAACAAGCAAACCTCACAATTGGAATACTTGCCTCCATCTTAGTCATTTTCTTCTCGATTTTCTTGAAACTCATCTTCGGTGGGAAGAAGAAGCCGGTGAGTGCATATTCAAGTTTCTTTCTTGATAAATTACCAATGTTTCTTTTCGTCTCACATTTAACTGTTTACTAACTCGCTGTTCTCAAACGCAACTGTCGAATACAGGCTGCTGTAGTTGCAGAGACAAAGAAAACAGAAGTTGCAGAGTCTTCAAACAAGGAGGGAAGCTCAGAGGAGAAGGAAGAGCAGAGCGAGGATGCTGCTGCTGCTGCTGCACCCCGCAGAAGGACCACAAGGCGTGACAATTAAAAGTAACGGAGGATAGAGACACGAAACGAGCTTTCTATGCCAGTTGGTAGTTTTTTTTGTGGGGGAGATGCTCTAAAAATGTTTAAATTTTCCGACTTTTTTTTCCTTTTTGTTTCGTGAAGTAGGTTTTGTATGACAATGTTTACTATAACCATTGATTGAGATGTGGTATGTGCCCATATACAATTTAAGGAACTCGTCGTGGATTCGAAATTGAGGGAATTTTGTAGTTTATCATTTGCTTGAAAAATTATAGTTGATGCAGCAGTACTTGATAATATAATACATCATACATACATGGGTAATTTCTGTTTCAGATGAACACCATTTTCTATAAAAAAAAAAAAAAGGTTAACAAAATTGCCATCATTATGAATAGTCAAACCGGAACTCAACCAAAACTGAAACGAAACCGGACTGTTTTATATTGATAACATCTTTCGCATACAAACTCAAAAAAGAAGAGACCAAGTTCTACGACTTATTTTGTGTTTGATGATATTTTATTTGATACTAAAATTAGTATTCATACGATCATAACTTTTGCATACAAATTCCAATTGCATTGATTCTAGTTATTGTAAAACGAAGAGAACAAGTTCTATAATTTTCATATATTTCTTGTTTATGACTTGTTTACCCGAGTAAAAAAATGCATTCAATATTGTTGCCACAATCTTATTGTCAATTCGACAATAGGATTGCTTATTATTACTATTTGTTTTATTTTGTCAAGAACTTTTGCATACGAAATTGGATTGCCTTGATTCAAGTTGCATCAGAAAGACGAGAGCAAGTGGGACAACTATTATTTGATATTGTTTGAAATTGGATTTGTATCTTAACCGTATATTTTATGTGATTGTATTAAATACTTTAATTATTCCGAGTGACAAATTCATAAAAGGTTTAATGATCATCCTACAACCCCAATATTACATCCAAACCATCCTACAACTTCAATTCCACTTTTAATTTTTCTAATTAGGAAATATCGTGTTCTCTAGAAGTAGATTTCACTCATTCTTTAATCCGTCTTTCCTACTATATATTTTGTTCCATAAAAGTATTTAGCACAATTGACTTCTTCAAATGTCTCCATGGAAATTAGGGGTGAGCAAAAAAATTGAGAAACCGAAAAATCGAATCGAAAATCGAAAAAAACTTAGCCGATATGTACCGTCCCGACTTAAAACCGAATATACGGTAATTTAGTTTTGAAAAATCGAAAATATCGATTTGTGTATGGAGAATAAAAAAATTACCGAAACAATTTCCCGAACCGAACTGATTTATACAAAATAATGTCCTTTTTTTTGAGGAAAAATGAGCTCTTTTTGATATATAGTATAAATACTTACCCTATCGTGGATCTATTTTTCGATCGCCTCTATGTGACATATTTTTTTATTAATTAATTTTGGGTTGTGACGTGTTTTTTATTAGTTAATTTTTGGTTGTTATTTGTTAATTTTCTCAAATAAATATAATGAAAGTCCACATATATTGGTTTTATGCCGAACCGATTCGAACAAATGGACGAAATCGAAATCGAAAACAAATCGAATTGATACCGAAACCAAAACCGAAAGACTGATTAACACCGAACAAAAAAAACGACATATTCGGTTTTTAAAATATGAAAAACGTAACCAATATTATCGGTACGTGTTTGATTTATCGGAAAAAAACGAGCCGCACCGACCCGTGCACACCCCTAATAGAAATAGGTAGGATTGTAAATTAGAGCTCTAGAGTTTTCTTAGAGCATTCTAAATACATACTAGAATCATCAATCTTGTACATACTTTATAGCAAATTTTTGAAGTGTTCTAGAGAATAAGTCGGATGAAAATGATCATCACCATTCATTGAGGAGATGAAGTTGTATTAATAGGAATATTTAATTTATTTGTAACCATGCAAGAATTTGTAAGCATTCAAAAAATACAAGTACAAGATTGATTTAGTTTGTTATTCGGTAGATATATTTTGTAACGTGAGTCTGACATAAATCTCAACCCAAGCCTTTCCCAAGACCCAAGCGCTAGCCGAGCTGAGACGTGACATGCCGCACTGGTCCGAATGTGCACGTGCACATGTGGCTTTCGCTAATGTAAACCACTTCGCCTTAGTTTCCTCAAACAACTTGATCCCTCGTGGGGATATCCTTAGCTCACCCACTAACACTATATAAAAGTGTGTTAAATGAGGTCCATGTTTCAATTGGGAACGTTATTTCACCTTCCAATTCCCATAATAAATCAAGTCAAGTGGACATCTTTATGTATAGATTTCTGATTTACCCATTAAAAAAAATTAACTGCATTAAATACACATACTCAAAGGCCACGAGAAACAAAAAAAATTGAGGGAAAGAGAAGAAATGACCATGAAAATAGGGCCCATAAGTTATTTTGATATGAAAAGACGAAAAAATTCATGCACTTAGTCATGTGTGTTGTGCGTGCGCCGGAAAATGAGAAGATCGTCAGAATATTCGCCATAGGTGGTTATATGCATAAAAAAAAGTTGGTTTGAGTGTGCCCGTGCAAACCTATTTAGTTAAGATGGCAAAGTCCAGGGGTAAAGTACGTGTGGAAAAATACTATTAACCCTATTACATAAACTTACTACTTGTTTTGTTTTGATCATAATTTTTGCATACAAACTGTGATTGCACTTGTTTAAGTTGCATTAAAATAACGAAAACACGTTCTACACGTTCTACAACGTTTATCTTTTGTATTTTCTAAAATGTGGATGATAATATTTTTGGCAATAACTTTCACATGTTTTTTCTTATTCGCAGGAGGTTGAGATTTTTTTAAATTTAGCTGTTGTTTTAGTTTCTGAACATATTTTGTAGCAGTATTCAATTTGAACAAGTACTTCTTTATCTTTCTCGAGCTCAGCAACCTGTGTCTTTAAGGCCTTATTCATTTCATCTACAGCAAGACATGTTTTGAGCAATTCATCTTGTTGTTGATGAATCATTTCTGCAGTAATCTCCTCTTCATCATCTGAGCTGGTTTCACCTGTATTAACAGAAGAGTTTAGACTAACAAGGTGATCAGACAAGGAATGTTCATACCTGACGGATGTCTGCACAGGCACTGTAGCCTCAGCTATTGGTTGAACAATCGTGCTAGTCCCACAGTAAATGTTTCCATCATTTTTGTCTTCCTCCTCATTGGAGTATTTCATGTCATCACTCTTGGCAGTAGTAACTGATTTTTCTCGTTTTTTTAGTCTATTGGTACACTCGTAATGAGTATGACCAAATCCTTGACATTATTTACACTGAATTTGATACGATCTGCACAAGCTCCAAGACAAAGAATTGGAAGAAGAGAAAACAAGTGAGATTAATGGAGCCGTTCGTGTTGGGATTGAAGAATAAAGGCTTGAATCAAGCCTTTGAAGAGTCTATGGTTTGGAATTGGAAGAAAAGAAAGAGAAGAATTCGTTGGACAAGTCGAATTCCATGCATCCGAGATTCTCGCCTATTCTGGCAAAGTTTACCATTCGGCTTATAACTCTCTCATATGACGTCCAATGTAGGTGATTCAAATTGCTATGGAAAGCCAACTGGAAGTTCTACAACTTTTATGTTTTGAGAGGAGAGAGATTCAAAATTTAACAGTGTCTTGAGCATGAAGTTCATGCACGTGCACAACCAATTGTCTACGCGAGTTAGGAAGGGTGATCGAGAAGTCGACTTGAAGATCAAGTTATCTAATTTATTTATGCACATTTTTAATTTAGGATTTATTATGTTTTTATTTTTTTAGAGTCTTTTATGGTTATGATTTGCTTATTTAATTATTTTCTTATTAAAGTTTAGGTAGGAGTCATTTTCCTTGTGAAAAAAGAGTCTTCTTAGACCTTATAAATAGGTTGCCGATTTGGCTTATTTTGATAGGACGAAGTTTGAATAAAATAATGAGATTATTCTCTTTGGTTCTTTAAGAACTCTTCGAACATATCGGTGGATTCCGTTTGTTCACCCCGACTTATCAATCGATCTTTCACAATCGATTGTGGCGTCTTCACATACCAAGGTTCTTGCCTCTTTATAGGCAACGGGTCGCGGTTCCACCATTTGAATCTTTGTTTTTGGATGTCTTCGATCTTGCTTTCGCGTAAGGTATTTGGGTCCCGTAACAAGTTCTACGGGGTTCGTATCAGAATTCTTCTTTTCTTGAGGCGTGTGTCAGCCTTTGAGGGATTCTCATTTACTTTGACCATCTTATCAAAATTTTCAGCAATATGTGTCATTAATTTGATAAGTTCTACTTCAACAGCAGACGTTGTTGGGACAGGAGGATTGGAAACAACAGTAGTCAGAACAACAGAAGTTGGAACATTGGTTGACTGCAGAGCTAAATTTCTTTCTTTGTCCATTCTACTCATACTCAGCTTGTTCTCAAATGTCTTCAAGTTTTCTATGAGCTCGTCAAGATGGAGTTCATCAATATTATTAGCCTCTTCAATTGCAGTTATCTTGTATGCAAATCGATCTGTAAGAGATCTCAGAACTTTGCGCACAAGTTTCTCTTTAGGATATGTTTCTCCAAAGCCATGAGCTTCATTAGCAATGTCGCACAACTTCGAATTGAAGTCAGCTATGGTCTCATCTTCTTTCATTCTAAGATCTTCGAAGCGAGTGGCAAGCATCTGGAGTTTTGACAGTCTTACTGGGGTTGTTCCTTCATACGCAGTCTGAAGAATATCCCATGCCCTTTTGGCACATTCACAACAAGATATCAATTTAAATTGGTTCGTGTCAACCGCATTAAATATAGCATTTAAATTCTTTGAATTGATATTTGCCACTGTCTGTTCTTTCTCGCTCCAGTTTTCATTGTGTTTTTTCATACTCAACACCTTCTCTGGTTTTGGCCACTGGTCTCGTCCACCCTGTTAGAACTGTACGCCATGAATCTGTTGGAATTTTTAATTGAATAAAATAATTAGGGTATTTCAAATAGGTGCATGTTTGGAATGAATGGATTTCTTTCCAAACAACACATCTATTTATGAAATAACTCTTTTCGAAACAACATATCCCTTCACAAAAGGACTCTTAAATTTCTATAAATAAGACAAAACCTGATCAGTTTTGCACAAGAGATAATAAGTCGTTTGTGAATTTCTTCCTAAAACTCTACTGTCAAAATTTCGTTCTTACGTCTCTAGTTCGCCGTGGGCTTCGAGTTTGTGCAAATATCGAAGTATCCGACTGTTGTATCTTGGGAGACTACCGAGAGTGACTGTTGCACCGTAGACAGCCCGAAAATATTGTCTTAAGGACATTGCTTTTGCAAGCCCCAGTCGATTTTTCGTTCTTCATATTTCCGGTTAATTTCTACTTCCAAGTAAGTGTAATTCTTATTTAATTATTCACGCAGATTGTTATAATTATACCAACAATCTTAAGACAATATCTTTTTCTGCTTTATGACATCTGCGTAAAATCTTTTTGTTGTCAATTTAGTTTGTGACAGTCTGTTTTGGCCTTGAAAACCAATTGGTAAATCTGGTTCTTGTTATTTACACTAATAAATTCATATATGGGTAGATATATAGTATTATAATAAAGGTATATGTTTGCAAACTGTTTATATTCGTATGAAAAATGACTTATCTGGTTTTATATAAATCTTCTGCGAAAACCATCCTCCCCTTGGAAATTGGTTTGCTTGTGTAAAGGCATCTATGAGTTTCAATACATTTCATATATCAATCTGGAAGGATAACTTTGATTTTAAAAATTTATATTTTCAAACATATGCAAAACGGCAGTGACAAAATATTGGAAGATTGTGCCTCTTCTAATTACTAGGAAGGTGCACGTGCGCTGCACGTGTGTTAATATTTTTCTATGTCGTTTTTAATTTGGATTTTTATGCATAGTGTTTGGCTAAGCTTATTAGATGCTAAAATGAGCTTATAAGATGTTTTAGAGCTTGTAAGCTCTTCCAAAGTGTTTGGTATTTTTTTAAGAAAATATCTTAATTTTTTTTAAATAAGCTGTTGGAGAGCAAACAAGATCTTTTAAGAAAGTACATCTACCCCACATTTTTATTCAAGATCTTATATTGAGTAAAAAAAGGAAATAAATTCATTATCCAAATACTCTAAAAACTAATCCTAAAAATAAGATGTAATAGCTTATCAACTCTTAAAACATCTTATCTGACATAAGAGTTTATCAGCTGTTTAAAATAAGCTTAGCCAAACACCCTAAATCTCACACTAACTATCTTTATTATTTTAGGTTTAGGGGTTATATCTCTTTCGGCAGGAATGAATGAAAATATATTTTAAGAAATTAATGAACTAAAATAAATTTAAATACTTAAGATTACTATTATTTATGTATTGATTTCTTAAAATTTATTGATATGAATATATTCGATTAATTGGTCCGATAACAATTAGATGTTATTTATTAAATATTTACCCAACAGTACAAGATAATATTTTTAAGTTTTAAAATATTGCATTTTCCAACATATATTTTTAGTTGTATAATTTAATTATTCTTTTATTTATTATTTTAAATATTTTTTTTAAGGTATTAGGAATTAGAATACAAATTGAATTAAGCTTGAGGGGTAAGTGTTACGTAGGCTATACTTCAGGGGTGTAAAGTGTATTTAGCCCTATGTATTATAAATAAAGGCATATTTAATGTATATGACAAAATTACCCTCAACCCTTTAAACTCAATTCCTAATTGTAATTCCAGTTTAACTTCAATTTCATCATATGACAACAAAATTCAATTTTGACTTTTTTCAGTCGGTTTCCGGCGTTGATTTTTTTTTTGTTTTTTTATTCTGACAGTTTTTTACGCTGCCGGTTTGAGGCGTAGAACGGCGTTGACTTTTTTTTCTCGAAATTTTTTACCCATTTATTTTTTTACGCATGCCGCTAAACGATGACAGTAATTGTAGTGTCGTTGACAGTACAATTGCTGTAAAACAGTAATATTAATGTCAACCACATTAATATCATTAATTTTTTTTTTTTTGGCTTTTTTATTTTGTTTGATTTGTTGACCAGTTAACGTAATAATATTACTGTCGTTCACAGTAAAATTACTGTAAACACAATAATATTACTGTCAACAACATCAATATTATTATTGTTTTAGGTTTTTTTATTTTGTTTGATTTCTTGACTTATCAACTTAATAATATTACTGTCTACTATTGTAATATTACGGTAAACACAATCATATTACTGTAGTTGACAGTAATACTACCGTCGTTACAGTAGTATTACTGTCAACCACATCAATTATTAATTCTTTGTGTTTTTATTATGTTTGTCTTTGTTGAACGGTCAACATGTTAATATTATTGTATTACACAATATAGTGATTTTTGTTGTGTTAATACTACCTTGCTAGCGAGTAATATAACAATATTACTGTGTTAAACTGTAATATAGTTAATATTACTGTCAACCACAATAATAATACTGGTTAAACGGGCCAAAAAAATGTTAAGGGAAAAAATATTTTCAAACATAAAATAAAAATAAAGTCAAAGCTCCTGGAAAAAAATCAACGCCCTGAGACCGGCAGTCAACGACGGCGACGGTCGAAATTGGAGTCAAAATTGGGTTGGTGGTTAAATTAAATAATTGGTAAAATTTGGGGACAAATTGAGGTAACATTAGATTAAATGAAGAAATTGGAGCATATTAAAATGTGAGGGGTTGTTTTAGTCTTTCGCACACCTATGAACATTGTCTAGATTTTTTTGTAAAGAGTTTTTGGTCTAGACTCCTTTATGAATAAGTAGTAGCTCATAATGAGCTTATTAGTAATAAGCACTTCTTAATTATGTATCATGCATGCTCTATTTTATCAAAATAATATTATTACATTTATTAAATGTATAAATATGTCGTTACATTGTTAATTTTTTGTATTATAATCAAATTTTATTTAATAACAAAATACATTAACAAATTTGTATATTGTGTTCTAATTCAATTAACAATACTTTTCGTGTTTTGTTAAAAACGATTTTTTTTTTGTAGCTTTCTTTTTTGACTCTTCCACTAATTTTCTTCATTGTTATGATAACTTTGGATCATATTTACATGTTTTTTAAGTAACTATCCTCTATTTTGCATGCAACCTATTCTTTTTTACTTACCTACTTTTTAACTTCAATTATCTTAGTTGTTATAACCACCAAACCTTTGCGTGTGTAGAGCCGATGAAAATTATAATTTTTTTAGTTCTTTTTAAGAGTAATATTTCTTCTGTTTTTTTGCAATTATTAAAGATTCCTTCCATTTTGTATTCTTATAAATCTTTTGTACTTGATTTTTTTTTAATATTGTATAGTTTTTTTTATGTAAATGTTTGTAGATATTTTATAGGGGCGTGCTAAATCGTACACTAAAATTTACTAAATCCCACACATAAATTAAAAAAAAGAATTCTCTCTCTACTCAAATTTTCTCTAACTTCTCTCTAAAATGATTTTATCCAAGTCACTCAAAATTCATTATTCTTTTACGTGAATAATCATAAAAAATGAGTTCCGTTTTATTTAATATTCATTCAATTTCATTAAGCATTTTTAATTATTCAAATTCATATGAATTCAAATTTTTTTTCCTCAAATTCCAACTTTATTTTAGTTTGAACATGTGAAGATTTTTGTCAAATTTGAACTTTGAATGCTAAGGATGTTTTTAATGTGTGATTTTGTGAAAAAGTTAGGGAAAAAGAAGAAGGATGGGGAATGAGAAGAGAAGATTTTAGAGAGATAAATATTTTTAGTTATGTGCGTGTGATTTGGTAAAAATAGTGTGGGATTTTAGGATTTCAGTATTTTATATTTTCTATTAAGTTTTCTACGATAGAGAAGTTTATACTACTACTATTATATGAGGTTTTTCCAATAAATAGACTGAACATAGAAACACCGTTGCCGATGAAAAATGAATGGCATAAATATGACGTAAATTTGCTTTGAGTATATATATATATATATATATATATATATATATATATATATATATATATATATGTGTGTGTGTGTGTGTGTGTGTGAACACCTGCTTGTAGAACTTGAACCAATGCATCATAGCCTCAGCTTATCTTTGAAAAATTATGTAATTATTGGTACTTCATCTTTGAACATGAATCACCTTGTAGAAGAGCAATATAAGATAAACAAAGAAATTTGTACTTTGTGGCTTTGAAAGAGAAAATGTTATACATAGAATGATAGAAATAAATAACATAGAGTCCGAGCCCTATGAAAAGTGTAAGATAGGAACTAATTACCTTTTTTTTTCTATTCTTACTCTTCTACCGAGGCTTAAAAACATTAGAAATGTAAAACGTCATAATTCTTCATCGGGGGAGTGGAACATTTGATTTCTCAAAAAGAAAAAAGAGAAAAAAAAAAGAAGAACATCAAACGTTTTATTGATGAGTTCTCCCAATTGTTTTCATTTTCTACAATGCATATTCACGTAATTCTTATGAATTATGAATAATGAGTTATTAATGATATAATTATTTATTGTGTTAATAAATGGTCATTATTTCCAAATGAAAGGTCAATTCACGAACCTATGAAAGGTTCATAAAAAAAACTTAACATAAAATCATACCAGTTCATATTACATGATTGTCCTTTAAATCCTACATATTCAAAGGATATTTTAGTCCATATAAAAAATGGAAGAAACCCCCAAGGATTCATGCTTTTATAAGTAGTATAGATTAGTGTTATTACATATTATATGCGGCCACTTGATGGAACTTGGTGCAAGAGTATTTCTATTTTGCACCACAGATATATTTGTTTCGATAGTTCCTAGGTTATAAGTTTCATGAAGAGATTCAATTTTCTCCATTGCGTAATGTGTGTTACA